CACCAAGGGGGCTTGCACGATGATAATCACCACTATCAATCATAACCTGCTGGAACAAATCAAAACAGAGGTTCAACATACAACAGAGCTGATCCAATTGAAAGAAAAGATTGAAAGGGGAATCAAAGGGTATGAACATTACAGCTTCAGAGATGGACTTATCCTCTTTAAGGGAAGAATCACCTTGGCTTCAAACTCAGAGCTACGCACTGTTATTCTACATGAATTTCACTCTTCGTTAATTGGCGGTCACAGAGGAGTGAAAAAGACATTGCAGAGGGTGCTTCCAATATACTACTGGCCCAATCTAAAGCGAGATGTCCAAGAATTTGTGAGGACTTGTCCGGTTTGTCAAGTGACAAAATACCAGCCGATGTCCCCTGCAGGGCTCCTTCAACCCCTGTCGGTCCCACTGGCAATCTGGGAAGACTTATCCATGGACTTCATCACCGGACTTCCAAACTCCGAAGGAAAGACAACCATCTTGGTGGTTGTTGATCGTCTCTCCAAGTACGACCATTTTATTGGACTGCCTCCAAGCTTTTCAGCTACAAAGGTTGCTTCGGTTTTTGTCGAACACATTTGCCGCTTACATGGAATCCCTCACTCCATTGTATCAGACCGAGATAGCATATTTGTGAGCAAATTTTGGGCTGAACTGGCACGTTTGAGTGGAACAAAACTCTGCTACAGCACGGCTAATCATCCTGAAACAGACGGGCAAACCGAAGTTACTAACAGGGGCCTCGAACAATACTTACGATGCTACACTATGGAAGCTCCAAAACAGTGGATGCACTATTTACCGTGGGCGGAATTCTCCTATACTTCAGCCTACCACTCCTCGATTGGGACTTCCCTTTTCCATATTGTCTACGGCAGGGCACCTCCTAACATCCCAGCATACGAAGGAAGTACATCCCAAATTGAAGCTGTTGATGTACTGTTGACTCGTCGAGATGCCATCATACGGCAGCTGAGAGAGACTCTGCACAGAACAAGACAGAGAATGAAGAGCCAATCAGACAAGAAAAGAAGAGATGTGCAATTTGAGGTAGGCACCCAAGTCTTGGTCAAGTTACAACCGTACCGGCAGCGCTCCGTTCGAAACCAAACGTTCTCCAAGCTCCGGCGCCGCTTCTATGGTCCGTTCTACATCACTGAACGCGTGGGTCCGGTTGCATACCGCTTGGATCTTCCGGCGGAGTCAAGAATTCACCCTGTGTTCTATGTGGCACTCCTCAAGCAGTACCGCCAGAATCCCGAGTTCCACTCAGCTCCGTTACCCCATGCAAGTTGGGAAAACCACCCAATCACCAAACTGGTGGCTGTGCTGCGAACCCGTGTGTTGCAACAAGGAAAAAAAGAGTCTTTACAACTCTTAGTGCAATGGGAAGGCTTACCTTTGGAAGACGCATCATGGGTATCCTACTCAGAGTTTGGGCAAGCTTTTCCGGGTTTCGATCTTGAGGACAAGATCGCTTTTTCAACGGGAAGGGGAATTGATAGGAACCCACACACACCACCCTTAGATATGGAGCACCAGCCGACACAAGTGAGACATGATGCAAGGGATGAGGATGAACGTGGCTTGCGTTTGAGGGAGAAGAGAGAGAGAAGGACACCTCAATGGCTCAAGGAGTTTGTGACATTGACAGGTGGCTGAGTAGTGATCAGGAGGGAAAGAGTAATGGGCCGAGTACTGGAGGCATGGCCCAATTGATAGATATTATAATTCTGGTTGTTAATAGAAGGGCTTAGAGTGATGATAGGCCCAAGGCTATAATTCCTTAGTTTTATAATTCTGTTGCTATAAAGATGAGTAGGGACCACATGGAGGGTTTTTATCCAAATTTTTTGTAACAAACTATCTCTTCTCTCTCATTGTAATCCTCTGGAGTTGCCGGCGAGCTCGAAATTGCCGTTGAAAATTTCACAATCAATACGTATTTCTTCACTCAGACTTTAATCAGATCCATAATCTATCAAAATCCCAACTAAATAATTCCACCGGTTAGATGGAATTGTTCCTTTCTCAAACATTAAATGATTATAAATATTTAACAAGTAGAGAGAGACACACCTAAGTGAGATATGAACATTGTAAAAAAGAGGCTTAATATTTAAAATCGAAGGTAGATTTGTAAATTTCGTCCAAAATTCCAGCAAAATTTTACTATCAACCAAACGTAACAATATGAAAATACACCCAATGTTCCTAGGAATATTTCCACCTACAAAACAGTTTTTTGATAATATTTTTGAAAAAGTTATTTTTTCACTATATTTCCGAAAATCATAATTTTCGGGTAAAAAAAAATTTCTTCTATATTAAATGCCTCCTAAATGAATAGCTGTGTCATCTGGCTTATGTGGCATTATATCACACGAGAATTAGCCGGCTTGCTTGTAATTGATGCACGTGAGAAGAAAGAGTGTGATATTATGATATATACTTAGACGATAGTTATATTTATAATTTTTTTTTATACATTCTTACAAACTATACTATATACTAGGAATAATACACTGTATGCTAGAATGTATTATTTCTAATATATAGTATAGTTTGTAAATAAAAAAGTTTATAAATATAACTTTTTTTCATATAATTATGTTAAAAATTTGATAGGAAAAGTTTGCTTCCCTCTATAATTTTTTTAACTAGTATCTAATTAATTGACCGGTGAATAAATTAAAGGAAAAAAAATATAAGGCTAAGAAATATGCGAGTTGATATTCTAAAACAAAATAAAAAGGTAAAAAACCTGTTGCACCAGCACGCATTTATTTAGAGCGCCATCTGCATTACCGAAAGGGATTCTATATAACGAAAAATATTTTCATTAATACCATGGATGCACCGCGCTCATTCGGTGGATTCTTTATCAAATATGAAAAAAATAATATATTTACATAAAATTTTTGATATATTTTTTGTTTTATTTTTGATAAAAGAGTACTTACTTTCATTACACACAAAAATTTAGAGTAAAGTTTTTTTTGGCTCTCCGACAAAAATTACGGTCCCCACTTTCATTCTTTACAATAAAAAAAATCCGTATTAGTCATTTTTTAGGGATTAAATTGGATCTTCATTGAATTTTTGAGAAATTACATTTCTAAAGAACTGAAAAAAACATTTGACTTTTTTTTTTTTTTATAAAAGATGAAAATAAAAATTATATTTTTTGTTAGGGATAAAAACACTTTGCTAATATTATGAAAAAAAGTGTGTCATTTTAAAGGGAATGAATCCTCTCATCTAGGGATGTGCATGGGTCGAACCGAACCAGTTTTTTTGAAAAACCGAACCGAATTGGTTTAAATGGTTAGATTCGGAAGTGGTTCGGTTCAGTTCAAAACCGGTTTGAGTCGACCCTCTTTTGAAAAGACAAAAAATTAAAAATTAAAAAATAAAGTTATAAAAATTAATTTGGTTCGTTTTGAAATGGTTTGGTTCGGTTCTTAAACCGGTTCTAAAAATCGGCTCGGTTCATGAACTGGTTCTTTAAAAACTGGTTATTTTATGTTGTGATTTGGTTCGGTTCAATTTTTTGGTTATTTTGCGCACCCCTACTCTCATCTGCTAATTAACATGATTATGTCACGTTGGACAATCATAATCATACATGGGTGAGTTAATGGTGATAAGGGAGGAGAGAGAAAAATATAAGGGTACGAAGTTACACAATCATCACCGTTGATTTAATTATTAATAGTTAAAATACTCGCACATGACATGATCGTATTAAATAAATTACACATGAGATGATTCATTTCTCATTTTAAATGACACACCTTACATCCTTTCAGTCTCACAAAAAAGTGAGATCCATATTTTTAATTTTTTTTTCCCATTCTATCTCCCATAATTTTTATCTTTATCTCATTTAAAATGTGATAACTTTATATCGTTTGAAATCATACACACTTTTTTCAAATTTATTCCTATATAACGGGGAAACAAGAATCTCCGTACAAGTTTTCGCAACTCCCACCAGATTTTCACCGATTATCTAAGCCCGTGTTTCAGCAATGATTAGTCCTGTAATTATGAAACATTATTTTGTACCTTTATTAAAGCTATAGGTATTAAACCCAATAATTTAAACACATTTAATTATTTCTTTATTATCTTCAACGGCACTTTTACCCAAAGAGATTACCATTGGCAGATACTACGGTTTGGTTTAATTTGTTTTTAATGAGTAAGATCACACTCACAACAAAAGTTTCTGAAATTAACAGAACTCGTTACTCTTTTTTATTCTTCAACTTGTGAGGCTATGGTAAAGCCACGTCGTTTGTTTGGGATAAAACGGTAAGAGGACTAGAAGAAGCGAAAAAAGTAAAATAAAATAATAACAAATTGGTGACAAAAGACCCAATAAGGAAACAATGGAAGAGGGACTCATTTTTTTAATATAATATTGTCAACTGCGGTCTTTGTTTTATTTATTTATTTTGTCTTGTTTGATTTTTTATTTTTTATTTAAAATTAATATTTTTTTGTTATAAAAAGTAATTTTTAGAGTAAATACTTTTTTGGTCCTTGATAAAAAATACGATCTCTACTTTAGTCTTTTACAAAAAAAAATAGTAAGTTGATTCCTAACAAATTCAAAATAGACCTATTTAGTTGAAATTATGGTCTTTCACAATTTCAAAAAAGACTCATATTAGTTCCTCAAAAGGACTAAAATGGAAACACTTTGAATTTGTTAGGGATCAACTGACTAATTTTTTTTTGTAAATAACTAAAGTAGAGACCGTGTTTTTTGTTAGGAACCCAAAAAGATATTTACTTTAATTTTTATTTTTTATACATAGGTAAAAAATATGTGGGACTTATTTTTTATTTTTTTATTTTCTATGACGTCATATGAATCCTTATACGTGTGTTGATCTCCCATCACGTAATAAACATTAATTTTTTATTTTATTTTTAGTTTTTCTTTTTCTGTTTTAAGATTTTCTTTGCTGATAGAAATGTTGTGGATTTATGAGACTGTGGTCTGTGGAGGTTCATAAACTGTGCAAGTGCAACTACAAACTAGAAAGTTTTATCTTTTGGTTTCATTCTCAGGTTGGTTTAGCAGAAACAGAAGATCCTCCTATGGTGATGCACCTCTCTCTCTCTCTCTCTCATTTGTTCTCTCTCTCTCTCTGCATGTATTTTTCTGCCCCTATACTTTCTGAGGTGGACATTTGGAACCAAATGGGAAATTTTTGATTCTTTTTGAGGGTCTATACTATTTTTCCATATGTTGGAGTTATCTGCGTTATAATTGAGAAATCTATGCAGAAAATTATAAAAAAAGTATAATTTTTTTGTTGGGTTTTTGTAATATTTCCAATTTTCTTTACTAGAAGAAAGTTTCTTGTTTGACTTTTAATGAATTGGTTTTATTTTAATGTGATGAATTGCATGCTGATAAAAGCTCATGAATTCACGTTGATAACTTGGCAGGAAGTTGTCAATGGGTAGTGTGGCAACAAGCTTAGAATTTGATCTTGATATTGGCCTAATGGGGTCTCTTTATGGCCTTCCTGGAACCACTAAAATGAGTTTTTGAGTTATAATGGTGATGGTGGAGGAGGTGCAAGAGTGTGAAACAAGTTGGATAACTACACCATTTCTTGGCCTTCATGCAGCTCTTGGTGTATAAAGATGGAAGGTTCATCTGGGTCTACTTGGCACAAGTCTTTCAGTTCTAGGGCATTAGATGCTTCTGGAGGCTCAGTCATGAACCCAAGGCCTCATTCTTCTGAAAGAAACACCTTCTCTGGTGAGGCTTCTCAAGATTCTTACTTCATAAATGAAAGAGACAGGGTTGTGTTAGCTCAAGATGATCAGTCCAAAATCCTTGGTGGTTTTTCTGGTGTTTGTGAGGATGGAGTAGGGGTTGACCCTTTTGTTTGTACTATGGATTGTGGTGATATTAGCTTGAGGCTATGGTTAGATAAACCTGAACGATCAGTGGATGTCTTTGAATGCTTACACATATTTAGGCAAATAGTAGACATTGTTACTGTGGCCCATTCTCAAGGAATTGTTGTTCATAATGTGAGGCCCTCTTGCTTTGTCATGTCATCTTTCAATCATGTCTCATTTATTGAGTCAGCATCTTGTTCAGACTCCTACTCTGATACTTTAGAAGAAGATGGATTAAACAGCCAAGCTGTTGAGATTAAACTTCCAACATCTATCTGTCCCCATGATATGCATCAGGAGAGATGTTTAGGAAGTGATGATTTTGCACCTGTCAAGACTTCAACAACTGCTTTGTCAGACTCTAGTTGCATGCTGTCAAGTGCCGTGTTTGCAGCGCCTGCATCGTTAATAGAAGATACAGAAGAAAATAAAATGAAAGACAGGAGAATGGCTGAGGAAGTAGAAGGAAAGAAGCAATCATTTCCAATGAAACAGGTACTACTGATGGAGTCGAGTTGGTATACTAGTCCTGAAGAGGTAGCTGGTACTCCAAGTTCCTGTGCTTCGGACGTTTACCGATTGGGGGTTCTCCTTTTTGAGGTTCTCAACAGAAATATACAATTCTTGTTTAAGTTGTTATATTCTAATTGGGTGCTTTTGATCTAATTTATCTTTTTTACCTTGTTATTCAAATGGAAATAAGATAAAGTTTTCAAAGACCCAATTACTATTTCTATTTTTTATTTTGGTAATTATTACTATTTCTATTTACTCTAACTGGATTATCCATCATGTGACCAGCTATTCTGTCCACTCAGCTCAAGAGAAGAAAAGAGCAGAACTATGTCTAGCCTTAGACATAGAGTTCTTCCTCCACAGGTACTTGTAATGTGGCCTAAAGAAGCTTCATTTTGCTTATGGTTATTACATCCTGAGCCTAGTAGTCGTCCAACATTGGGGTAAATTCTCTTCACCACATGCCTTTTAAATATTAAATATCCAAACTGTTTGTGATATGTTCCGATTACCCGCCACTTGTATGCCTTATTTTCTGTAAAGAACCTTGGGATACACCACCTCAAAAGCTAGCTCAAAGGGTGAGAGTGCCCAAGACCTTATAAACTTCACATTAGTTGCACATACAACCAATGTGGGACTATATATCTCAACACGCCCCCTTACACGAGAGCCCATTAGACTTGAAGAGTGGACAATGCAACAGGCCCAGCCTACCTGTGCTAAGAAACGCCACAAGAGAAAGTGGGGGGCGGTGAGACTTTGATACCATGTAAAGAACCTTGGGATACACCACCTAAAAAGCTAGCTCAAAGGGTGGGAGTGCCCAAGACCTTATAAACTCCACATTAGTTGCACATACAACCAATGTGGGACTATATATCTCAACATTTTCCTTTTCCTTTTTGTTGTCCAATTCCTTAATTTTTGATTGGAAAGTTGAAATTCAGCTAATTGGCAAATTATTTTGAATAAGATCCTTTATAAGCTGGTTTTACGTATAAGCAAAGACTGCATTATGGTCTTCAGGTTGTTTAAGCTTTAAGGTTTGTGATGTACATATCTCCTTGATGGACTTGGCATGCAGTTTGTCTAGTTTAGGTGTTAGATCATGGATAAAACAAGTGCTACCAAATTACATGAGGGGGTAGATAGTATAGATATTGAGTAGGAAACAATATAGAGGAGAGAATCTGGTTTTGCAAAATGGAAGATCACATGCAATTAATTAGATAGCATGCATTGAGAACCACATCCCTGATAAAAATGCAAAATGACATGATTGTACTAGATTGTAAGTATGAATGATCTCAATTTTTATGCTTGCCAGCCGAGTGATGTGAGCACATAAAGGTTTGTGAAGCAGAAGGATCCCCTAGATTGACATAAATGTACATAACAAAGTAGACAAATATTCGTGGGCATTATCTATGTGTAATATAATAGTAGGGGAACAAAATGATTTTGAATTTCAGCACAAAAAGATTGAAATATTAGGAAACATTTCAGTATGATATATATATATATATATATATATATATATATATATATATATATTATAATGTAATCAAGTTCAACGAGGACCAATAATGAAATAAATGTGACAAGATAGTTTATTCTATGATAGAAGGGATCAACCAATTCAATGGGGACACAACACAATTATTAACTTGCTTTAGAGGCAAAGTATGTACTTGTTTGCCAAGTTGACATGACTTACTTAAGAGATGACAAATATGATAGATTAGAAACCATCTTATAAGCAACATGAAATGAAGGCATGGAAAGAAGATGTTTTAGCCCCTTGGACTTATGCCTTATGCCCTTGCCCTCACAAGAACTAGATTATCATTGAAGTTAGCAACACAATGAATAAGGCAAGTTGAGTTACTAATGAGGATAAGATTTAAAGGACAACCAGGGACATAATCTGAGTTAACAAGGGATGAGGGAGAGTTTTACCAATACATTTAGCTATGATAGTTTGAGATAGCAAATTCTTTCACCATGTACTAATTGCTTGCAATAGTGCATGTTTGTTTTAGCTTATTTTGGGTTTAGAAAAACTTATAAGCAAAATGATGCCAAGAGAGCTTTTGGCTGAAAAACTTCATTGAGTAAATATTAACCAAAACCAAACTTGTGCTTAATGTTTTAAAGGAATTTTGGTATGAAGGAAGCTGTAGTTTTTTGGGATTAATTCAGATTTCTAACTTGCTTTTCAACAAAGGGATTAGTACAATATATATGGATTAAAGGCTTTACATCAGGTCAGCCCGTTAATCCGAGATGAAGGGTATAGTCCCTATAAATCAGCTATACACTAATCAGGGAAAGAAATCAGCGTAAAAAAAGGGAAACGAAATAGGAAGCAAATAAATACAAACTGGGAAATAAATAAGATCAGGATAATTTTCTGAAATCAAGCAATGATGGAGCGCAATCATTGGGGCGCGCATAACAACAGTTTCAATATATATATATATATATATATATATATATAACGTAAGTCATACCAATTTTTGCTTAGCTGTTTGTTTTGAGTTGTCAATAACAAGACCTACTCCTATTTAAAAGTTTCTGCATCTGAACTGCCCATTGCCTTTCTAGATAATATAATATCTAAGAATATAACCCCTTGGCTGATGCCCTGCTCCCCCGTCCTCAAAAGAACAAATTATCAATGAAGTTAGCAAAACAATGGAAAGTTAGTCAATTTACTAATGGAGATAAGATGTAAAGGACAATCAGGGACATCAAAGAGTTAATGAGGGAAGAGGATGGATTTGACCAATGCCTTTAGCTATGATAGGTTGAGGCAGCCAATTCTTGCACCACATACTTAATGTCAGCATTAGTGCATGTTCGATTAGCTTATTTTGTGTTCAGAAAAGCTTACAATTAAAATGTTGCATAGAGAGCTTTTGGCTGAAAAGCTTAACTGTGTAAAAATTAAGCAAAACCAAACTTATGCTTAGTGTTTTCAATTATTTATTTACAAAAGTAATACCGATTTTCACTTGGTTATTTGCACCGAGTTGTCAATAACAAGAACAAATCCAATATTTCCAAGTTTGTGCATCTTATCAGTCCATTAGCTTTGCTAGATAATGTAGTATTTAAGAATCAGGAACCTGACTAATCAAAGCATTTGTAATTCCATAATAAACTAAGAAGATATTTTTTATAACATTTATTTGCTTGTGTAGCAGGGAGTTGTTGCAGAGTGAGTTTCTTAATGAACCCAGAGATGATATAGAAGAGCGTGAAGCAGCAATAGAACTTAGAGAAAGGATAGAGAGTCAGGAGTTGTTGCTAGAATTCCTTTCATTAATTCAACAGAAAAAAGGGGAAGCCGCTGAGAAGTTGCAACGTACAGTGTCTTTTCTGTGTTCAGATATTGAAGAAGTGACTCAGCAGCAAACTATATTTAAAAAGATAACTGGCACTGGACTACGGAATGATGATTGTTCAGCTTCAAGTTTCCCATCTCCGGCAACTGTTGACAGTGAGGATTCTGCTTGTCTAGGGACCAGAAAACGGGTAAGACCAGGTCCGTGTGTTAACAACACTGAGGGATGTGATAATAACAGAGTTGATGATAAGAAAAATCATGGAAGTGTTCTTTCCCGAAGTTCACGGCTTTTGAAGAACTTCAAGAAACTAGAGTCAGCGTACTTTTTGACACGATGCAGATCAACCAGAGGGTCTGTCATTGTGTCTGAAAGTTGTATCAATAAAGTAGCATCGAAAGAGCAGTACAGGGAGGGAAAATGTCCTTGGATAAATCCTTTCCTTGAGGGTTTGCGCAAGTACCTATCATTCAGTGAGTTAAAGGTTAAGGCTGACCTGAAACAAGGAGATCTTTTGCAGTCTTCCAACCTGGTCTGCTCACTCAGTTTTGATCGCGATGCAGAATTTTTTGCTACAGCAGGCGTAAATAAGAAAATTAAAGTTTTTGAATGTGACACAACCATAAATGAAGATCGTGATATCCACTATCCAGTAGCGGAGATGGTTAGCTGGTCAAAGTTGAGCAGTGTATGTTGGAATACTTACATCAAAAGTCAAATTGCTTCAAGTAACTTTGAAGGTGTTGTACAGGTAGGTCAATGGTTATGAATAATAGGTTGTCTATGATTTCTATAGCAATAACTGTAACTTAATGCTTATCTTTTTCAGTTATGGGATGTGACAAGAAGTCAAGTGCAGTCTGAAATGAGGGAGCACGAGCAACGGGTATGGTCCATTGATTTCTCATCAGCAGACCCAACAATCTTGGCAAGTGGGAGCGATGACGGTTCTGTCAAGCTATGGAGTATCAATCAGGCAATTCCATTTTTGCACTTGGTGGATCTCAGCTTTGAAACTAAACGTACTGCAGTCATCTATTGCATGTTTTATGTGTTTAATTCTCGATGTATGATGGGTTGTTTCTCTCACCTGGGCTGTTACTGCAGGGAGTTAGTGTTGGTACCATCAAAACAAATGCAAATGTGTGCTGTGTTCAGTTTCCCATGGACTTTGCTCATTTCCTTGCATTTGGTTCAGCAGATCATCAAATATATTACTATGATCTTCGCAACCTGAAAATGCCTCTTTGTACATTAGTTGGACATAATAGGACAGTGAGCTACATCAAATTCGTGGACAGTGTGAGCCTAGTCTCGGCATCCACAGATAACACTTTGAAACTTTGGGATTTGTCCATGTGCGCTTCCCGTGTTATAGACTCGCCGATTCAATCATTCACCGGTCACATGAATGTTAAGGTACATATGTTGATAATAGTAGTTTTTGTGTCTTTTCTGATATATGAGGGGACATTGGTTCAAGTTTTGACAAAATATTCCAAGGATTTACATGTTTAGGAATGGTATTACTCAGAGTGATGATTATCACATTTTGTTAATCTGTTGACCGAAACATTTGTGAGAATGACATTGACAGCTGCAGGGGTGGCCGGATTTTTGCAATCAGTGAGTGGCGGTAGTGGCTTAAGTCACCAGCCACTGTAAGTGCCTGCAGGGGCAGAATGTTAATAACAGTTGGGGTAGCCAAATTCCGGTGATCTGGGATGGTAGCAGAAGTTGGCCATTTTTAGTTGTGGGTAGAGGCTCAAAGTGGCTAGGTTTTGCAACCAAATAATTGCATGTGGTGGTTGTTGCCGGCAACAATGTGGAAGTGCTTGTTTGATATCTTGGAAATAGAAAAGTCATGAAAAATATATTCCCATGCCATGGGAATGGAGCATACCCAAGATTATCAAATTGTGATTCAAAACGTGAATTGCCAAAGTAACTTTTGAATTGTGAATCATTAATCGTATTAAATTGTATGATTGAAAAACACAGAAAAATAGCGTAAAATATGTCATAAATGATGTATGATGTATAGTGCCCAATATGTGAATAAAAAACCAAAATCATAAGTAGGAAGATCATAATTGAGTTTTGCAATCAACACAAATATAAGTAACAAAAAAAAAACATAGTGCATAAGTAACCAAGTCCAAAACTAATTATCTTCTTACTCATCAATCATCAAGACTAATGTCATCACTATAACTATCATCTATTATCATCATCTAGTCTGACTAATCCTCTCTTCTGCTCAGATTCTAGTTATTGCAAGGCATGAGAGTCGTCTAATTTTTCCTTAAAGTGGTGTTCAACTTCCAAGGGCTTGCTCCTGTCATGATGAACAGAGTTCTGAGCAATATTGACTATTATCTTGTTATCACAATCCAACCTTATAGGTTGGGAATAAGAGATATTTAGTTGATGAAGAAGTTTTCTTAACTATATTCCCTAACAAACTCCATGAGCTAGTGCTCAAAGTTCAACTTCGGTATTACTTCTTGCTACTACTGGTTGCTTCTCCAAGTTATTTGGTTGCTCCACCCATTGGTGGAAAACCCAAGGTTGGTTATCTATCCATTGATAAATCAACTCAATTCGCATCAACGCAAATTTTAATCATCCTTTGCTCCCTTTTCCCCAAAAAAATCCCCTATATGGTGTCTTCTTGAGGTACCTTAGGAACCTGTAAATTACACCAAGGTGTTTCTCCTTGTATGAATGCATACTTGCTTCTAAAGCAATTCCAGGCCGTGTATGAGATAGGTAGATCAATTTACCAATTAATGTTTAATTTTGCTCATCCACCTCTTTCCCTTCTTCAATGCTCAACTTGACATTAGGTTCCATGGGTGTCTCAATTGGTTTGCATCCTGGTTTGCTTGTCTATTGATACGAATCTAGGATGTACTTATTCAAAGATTTACGATCCTTGTCTTTTTCTGAGCTACTTCCATGTCGAGGAAATACCTTAGGGCACGAAGGTCCATCAGTTCCGACTGATCTGCATGATATTCCTTTAAGGAATCTATCTCCTCAGGATCATTGTAACACAATTATTTCCTCCACATATAATGTAAGAGTAGCACGCTTACCATCCTTAGTTTGTGGATAATGAGTGATCGGTTTGGGCCTATAAGAAACCTTTCCCCTTGACTATTTGAGTGAACTTTTCAAATCATTCTCTAGAGTATTGTTGTGCCCATAAAAAGACTTCTTTAACTTACCCAACAAACCATCTTTTTTTCCAAAATTAGGTTGAGGATCCATGTTAACTTATATAAGTTACCATTTAAGAAAGCATTCTTTACATCCAGTTGTTGTAGGGACCAATCAAGATTAACAACTAGATACATAAGAACTCTAATAGTGTTGAGTTTGGCGACAAGGGCTTATGTTTCTTGATAATCTATCCCATATGTTTAGGTGAATCCCTTTGCAACCAGTCTTACGTTGTATCTTTTAATGTTTCCATCTGCATTAAATTTAATGGTGTACGCCAACTTGTAGCCAACTGGTTGTTTTCACTTGGTAATTTCACAATCTCCTAGGTGTCATTCTTTTCCACGACATCCATTTCTTCAAGGACAACTTGTTTCCATTTCAAATCATCAAAGGCTTCTTGTATACTTTTCGGTATCTTTGTACTATATTGTGTTGAAAGCACAAATACCTGGAGACAATTTATCATAGGAGATATACAGAGAAATGAGATATAAAGTATAAGTCTTGGATCCGTTTCTGAGAGCAATTGCAGATGTAAATCCAAAGTACCATGTTGAATTGGATATGGATTTTCACCATTGGGAGTTTTAGTGTCGAAACTATAAGCCGAAGTGGAATCCTGACTGAGGAGAGGTTATGGATTATTTACACTTTGAGGAGGCTTCCCGCGCCTATACACCAAAAGTTATTGTTGTTGATATCCTCTTGTTTCAAATTGTGGAAAACACTGAGGGAGTGATGGGTAAGGCTAGGGGTAAAACTATGGTTGTAAGTTCCCATGACTTATGTTCATTTTCATATATATGCTCCCCTTGAAGAGGAGCTGGGGAAAAGAAAGATTGAGTTTCGAATAGGTGACATCAAGTGACAAAGACTTTTCATAAGGATGGGGAGTAACACTTATATTCCCGTTGGGTAGGTGTCTTGCCAATGAAGATACACTTGTGGGATTTAGGACAACTTTGGACCGCTGGTGAGATAGGACATAGACAAACATTACACAATTAAGTAGTTTGGAATATGTGTTTAGGGGACATGATATCGGAGATTGAAACTGAATGACTCGGAAAGACATTCTATTGATGAGATAGGAGGCAATTAGAGTAGCTTTCCCCACAGATATTTAGGGACATTCATTGTGAACATCATGGCTCGAGAAACTTTAAGGAGATGACAATTTTTTCTTTTGGTTATGCCATTTTGTTGTGAAGTATGAGGACATGGACTCTGGTGAATAATTCCTTGGTTGGAAAGTATTCCCCAAGAACGGAATTAATGTATTCTTTCCCATTGTCTGTTCGTAGGATTTTTATTGAGGGATGAAATTGATTTTGAACCATGATATGCAAAGTTTTGAAAACTTGTTCAGCTTCTGATTTTTTAGACCCAACCAACCCTAAAATGGTCATCGATGAATGTGATAAATCATCTTGTGTTCGAAATGGTTTGGTTTGGTTTTTTGCTCAATAAATGCTGCTACAACTTACTCTCGTGTAGAATTATTCCTGCACATATTTTCTTAGTTGTTCGTCGAGTGTAGCTCATCTTGTGTGTGATGTTTGAGATCCATATCTTGTTCATAATTAATTGGTGGGCCTGCAAGTGGGTGACTATATAGTAACTGCATGCAAAATTTAGTTCATTTATAATTAATTTACAGCAAATTTTATGGATACAATGTTTCAATTTTTGCGGTATTATGCTGATGCATCGTCCTTTTGTTGCAGAACTTCGTGGGGTTGTCTGTGTCCGATGGTTACATTGCTACTGGTTCAGAGACAAACGAGGTATTTTGTGGGTCCCTTTTCATTGATTTACCTGTTACGTTTTGTATATAGCCGTTGACGAGTTCCTTTCATTTTATTTATTTATAATTTGTTCATGATTAATTTACCTGTCACAAGAATATTGCTTTTGAATCTCTTTTTGATAGATTCTGTTATAAATGAAGTTGTTGAAATATAGGGATTAGAAAAGAGAGAATACATTTCTGTAATTTCACACTAATAGGACTTTAAATAATTGTGATGTTATGATATAAAACACTAGGCTTATACTTCATGGTATCACCCAGTAGCTTAAGCTTTTTCGGGAGGGATGATTCGTGACAGATGGAGGAAAATGTCATTTATTTCTTCTTGGATTTTACTGTATTAATTAAGGTCTTGTTCCTATATAAATTAGGTGTTCATATATCACAAGGCTTTTCCCATGCCAGCATTGTCATTCAAGTTTAACAATAGGGATCCAATTTCTGGGAATGAAGTGGATGATTCTGCACATTTCATCTCTTCTGTTTGTTGGCGTGGTCAATCTTCCACCTTACTTGCTGCAAATTCCACTGGGAATGTCAAAATTCTTGAGATGACTTAAGTTGGCCTCTACTTTGAAGCAAATATACAAACAAGGGTTTGTTGTGCATGAGGTTACTAATTCCATGATTATTACTTGTAACATAAATTTTTGCATTAGATCATAGCGGAAGCAGTGAGAGAATAGAGTGACATTGATCTCATTTAAGAGTGTTTTGTAGATAAAATTCTATATGGAAGAAAGGAAAGGTGAAAAAAAATATATCAAAATTTGTTACGGTTATGATCCTTATTTAATTTATAGATGCATTTTTATGGGCTCTATTTTGGCAAGCTCTGATTCCTTGAATTGGATCTATGTTGTTTAATTTTTGTTTTTTGTTTTTGTTTTTGGTCCTTTAGAATTTTAAAATATTGCTTTTAATAATTTAAATATTTTTACATAAATTAATAAGTTATATAGAACTTAGATAATAAATTGAAATTTTAAAATACATATAGTATTATTTTCATCTTGCGTTTAATTTCTTTTCTCTCTTATTTTTATTATTTTTCTAACACGATTTAAAAGTGAAATGAACTTATTCATGTAACGACCTACTCCTTCGTCTTACATTCTTTTAGATTTTTCTGCTATCTTCACGTTTTTATAAATCAATGAGAATTTCCCCCATTTTTAGATAAAAATAACTGTTCTTTGGGTCTGTTGAGTTGTGATGATAACTTATTAATGCAAAATTATGAAATTAAATTGAAAAATATTTCCAAATATATAAGATAAAGGGTTTTGTTTATCTCATTTTACATGAGATAAACAATTTTTCTACACACAAAAAAAAGTTGGGTCCCATCATTTTTTTTTTCTCCTCTTATTTGTGGGTCTCACTTATGATTTTATTTCTACAACATGAGGTAATTTTTTTCACAACATGAGAAAAGTATTTCCCATAACCAATTTTTAAAAATATATTAGAACCCATCAACCAACAAAATTTTTATAAAGAACTTTGACTAGAGGGGTTAAAAGAGTCTGACGCTTTTGACTTGGCTCGTGTAGGCCTGACCTATTCTGTGTGTTTTGGTTGTTAGATCTGAGCTTAGATCTGTATAAAAGCTTATTTAATAAAAAGGTCTTAGACTCCAATTTAAAAATCCGGCCTTAAAGCCCATCAGGTTGGCCTACTATTTTTATTTTATTTTATATTTTTTATACTAACCTAATTTTCATTCCCATCATCGTGCCTAGCCCACTTCAAGCCATCAAGCAACCGTTCTCCGTCATTCTTTTCGTCAATTGGTTAAGCAGACTTTTTGAATGATTTTGTTCTATATTACGCTGTTTGGATATACATTGAATTTATTTTTGTTGTTAGATCTGAGCTTAGATCTGTATAAAAGCTTATTTAATAAAAAGGTCTTAGACTCCAATTTAAAAATCCGGCCTTAAAGCCCATCAGGTTGGCCTACTATTTTTATTTTATTTTATATTTTTTATACTAACCTAATTTTCATTCCCATCATCGTGCCTAGCCCACTTCAAGCCATCAAGCAACCGTTCTCCGTCATTCTTTTCGTCAATTGGTTAAGCAGACTTTTTGAATGATTTTGTTCTATATTACGCTGTTTGGATATACATTGAATTTATGAATCTTTGTGGAATTATTAGTGTTCTTGATCGTATATTCTGTTTGGATGAATTTTTGTTGTCATATTTTTTTAACAAGCTAAGCCAAACTTTTATATTTTGTAAATAAGCCAGACCACATGCCGATAATTATATTCATAACAGGTTACTGGCTAGGGCAGTCTCACACATTTAAATACAGACTTAACATTTCAAGATCAAAGCCCGACCCGACTTGATCCGTTAACATCCTTAACTCTAACTTTGTCTTCCAATTTCACCGGCCGAATAATAAGTACAAAAAGTTACAAAATTTTTGTAATTTAATCTTTATCATTTTATAACCCAAAATTGTAAACTATGATACAATTTAACTTTATGATTGAATTCCTTGACCTAGCATCTAAATAATTATTGATTGATATTAAAAAATAAAATAAAAATGAGCTGCTTGTGCTTATATTAACAACTTTTGTTCCCTTATCTCTTGCTGTCTAAATTGTGCCAATATCAAACAATGACTCTAATTCATCCTCATTTTCATTCACCGGATTCCTATTTGAGGCATTCTTACTTCAAGATGACGAGTGCAAGATTGCCATTATTGAGATTAGAGGAATGAAAGCCAATAAATGTTGAAGAGCTCAGTGTTGGGTAAGTACCTTCCAACAAGGAGAGGATAACATAAAAGTATCTAGAAGAAAGTAGAGAAGAGAGAAAGGTTTTATCATTGTATTGTGATATCTCTGTAAGCATTGTACATGCCTTCAGGAGTTGAGATTTGGAATAATTTATTTGGGGTTATGGATATATCGAAACAATTATATTATTTATAACACATTTAACACTCTCCTATAGATGTCCATTAATAGAATGTATTTCATTAAAATATTACTAGGAAAAAAACTCCAAATGAAGGAAAAAAAAGTATAAATTCATAGTAATATATATTGCAAGCGGTCTCATTAAAAACCTTACCATGAAAATCCAATATGAAAAAACATGTGTGAAGGTAAAAATTAATACAACATGTATATATATATATTTTGGGTAGAATACAACATGTATTTTACTCTCCTTAATGATAACATCATTTAACATTTCTGAGTCCACTACTAAAAAAAGCTCAATTTTCAACGGAATTTTTCCGTTGAAAATTATGAAAATTCCGTTGAAAAATCATTTTTTGACGGAATTTTCGACAGAATTCTGCTGTTGGATAACCCTTCGTCAAAAGGCAACGGAATTTTTTTTTCCGTTGAAATTTACAACGGAATTTTTTTCCGTTGAAAACTTCAACGGAATGTATTCCGTTGGAAGCTTTACTTTTCCGTCAATAAATAAAGTCATGAAATAATATTAAAGTAATAAATTCCGTCGAAAATTTCAACGGAAAATATATCCGTCAAAAAATTCTATCTCAATTTGCAACAGAAATTAACAAAAATTCCGTTGAAATTTTTTACGAAATTAATTTTCGTTGAAAAATCCCGTCACAATTTTTCGATACAATTTAATTATAATTCCATCGATAATTGCAACAGAAAAAATCTCCGTGAAAAAATTCCGTTGTAAAATTCAACGGAATTTATCTACAATTCCGTCTATACTTTCAACGGAAAATAATTCTGTCGAAAAGTTTCGTTTCAGTTTCCAACGAAATTTATCTATAATTCCGTTGAAAATTCTTAACCGTTTACAACGGAATGTACATAAAATTCCGTCGAAAATAATATTTTTAATTTTTTAAAAAACATTAAATTCATATGGAAACAAAATTTATCCGTCCCTAATAGGATCAAAATATATCCTTCCCAAATTTCGTCCCTAATTTTTTTATTATTATTTAATCTTTCTATTCCAACACATACAATATTCAACTTCACCAAATACTCAAACCTAAGAATGATAAGTTTTACAGACTAAAGAACATAATCCTCCTCTTCATACACATGAATAATGATTTTAAGTGGAAGAACTTTAAATATTCCTCCCTGGTCAAGGCTCTCCTTGACTTGAACCCTCCTTGGCTTTTTTCTCCGTCTTTGACCATCTTCTTCTTCATCAGGAGCATCATCTTCCAATTTGAAACTATCCACGGTGGGGGAAGTTCCTGATTAATAAAACCAGATCATACTAAATCCCTAAAGAGAGAACTGCTCAAAGGAAGAACTTGAGATGACATTAGATGTTGAGTTCATGCAGAATAACAAGAAAAACACCCTTCAAGTCGAAGAAAACGCCTTCATGTAGAAAGAAACTTACCAAACATATAGGTTGAAAGTTGTTGAAATGTGTTATCAAGTACTGCAATACAAGAAAATATAGATCCAACGTCAAGAAGAAAGGGAGCAATATAAAATTAAAAATTTAGTCAATAGAAAGGAAAAGAATAGAAACACTGTTTTGATTTCAAAATTTATCATCACACTATCACACTAATCCAAAAGAAAACAGTTGATAGCAAAGTAAGAACAATTCAACCTCCAAATGTAGCTTGGCCCAGCATTTTTCATAATGAGATCAAAACACCCATGACAATGATATAATGCATAGTTCTCATCACCACAACAAAGAAACTTATCATCAATTTCATATAACATAATAAGTAATTTAAGAGACTAAGTGTGACAACTGATAAGAAATAATAATAATAATAATTTATGTTAGATTAATCATCTATTTATATATGTTAAATTAGTTATATAATTAGTCAATATATAAAAGTCACGTGTTCGGTTAATTATAATATATATATATATATATATATATATATATATATATATATATATATATATAAATAAGCTGACCTTAGTAGTCAATGTATATAGAAATTTAAACTAACTGAAACTCTTATATTATATATACACGGTTTGGATGCTAGCTTACGGAGTTATGTCTTTTTTAATTAAATAAATAAATTTTATTAGATGGGTGCAAGCAATGATACATGAAAGGTACAATGCTTTGGAAGTCACACATCAAAATCATACTTTAACTTTTTCCTTTTCCAATCTTTATAACTAGCTTGGTTATTTTAGTGTAACTTTTTTTTAACTGTTTAGTGTATAAGGAATGATATAATAAATAATAATTACAAAAATATAGTACTTTATAACTACAAGTCGACATCAGTCAACAACATGACAATATTGAATAGATGCATTTAATTCATGAGTATTAGCATGTTGAACACTTGGCCGAAAATTTCAAATTGCCTAAACTTGCATGGAGGCCACTTGGCTTGAGGCTTGGTGCATGAAGGACACCTTGCCTCATTCACTTGACACATTATACTCTCAGCCATACTAGGAGGAATAAGGTGGAAAGGCTAAAACAATAAGTTCAATTAGGCAAGGGTACAATGCCTAGAGTCTTGATAAATTAAGACGAAGGGAACTTAGTCTATAAAAACATATATTAGTACACATAGATGGTGCTTAAATAATATATTATGAATAACATATAAAAAAGATGGTTTGGGGGAGGAATAATTTGGGAATGAGGACATGTAGTATTCAAGCTATGGCTTAAAGGATTATGCAAAATAATTAAATGTATATTGAATAGATGCATACATACATATATGTGTGTGTATGATATTCGGGAAAAAAAAACCCATTTGTTACAAAGAACCAAACCTAATCCCAAGTGCAAATGAATAAACTTTGTCACACAAGAGAGGAATAAAATAACAAAAAATAAAAGGCAATACTTTAACAACCAAAGGCTCCAAATGTGCACCTTAGTCTCTAGTGTACTTCTGAAAGTTGATACACTGCATACAATATGAGTGTAATTTATGTTCTAAATCTGTCATATACTATTATTAAAAGAAATAAATTACAAAATAGTTCTCTACCAAATGATTGATTACCAAAACATATAACAAAAACCAATGATGTGGCTAATCGCAGAAACAAGATGATAAACTAAAGGTTGAGCTCATTGATATAACTTATATATACATTTGAAGAATTCAGAGAAAAGAATAACCTTTGTAGTTCGACCAATGATGAATGAGTAGTTTACCTGGAATATTATTTGAAAGATATAACCCCAAGTGCCTGCAGGTTGATGGATAACATGTCCAACTACAATATCAAGAACACAATGACAAGTATATAGCAGAGAGCCAGAGAATACAAACTAGATTATAGGCATGACTAACATAGGCAGTACTTACCCCAAAATAAATGGTTATTGATGTAAAAGTTCACCTCTACCAGTTCATTCTGTATGTCTTCCATTGGTTTAGTAACCTAATAAAGAAGTGTAACATAACCAGAGTGTGTTAAGTTAAAGTAAAATTCAAAAGGATTAAAAACAACAAAATAGAGAATAAAAATTAAATTATAAAAATGCATAAATCAAATGAATGACCCCATAACGCAAATATTTTCTTATCATAAGTCAACTCTGAATCTCCCAAGTGGTCTTCCTCTTTACATTTGAGTTAAAGAAGGCACAATGTCCTGAAAAATAAACATTACTAGAATAAGAAAACACAAGTTTGGGAAAATCCAAAAAAAAACTAACGATGTGCAGGGAAATTAAAAATTTGCGATTACTTTTAATACCTTTGGGTTGGTATTATCAGCGACAGCCATGTGCTACAAAAACGGGGTTGACATGTGCAGCTTCTTTTACATAATTCATCGAAATCGGACAAAAATGTAGGACACCAAAATCGGTATGATGAGCAGCACAATGCTTCAACCAACTGCAGCACAATGCTTGAAATTGTAGTGTTTGTGGTGGTTGTGGAACGGTGTTATGGAACCAAAATCAGTACACACAGGGGATGAGCACTTGGTTGACGAGGGATTGGGGTTTGAGAGAAAAGAGGAGAAAAAGAAGATGGTAAATAGGAATATGAAAGAGGAAACGTGTATAACTTAGAAAAAAAGGGAGCTTTGAGATTGTGAAAAACCAAAAGAGAGGGAAATAATTGGGGTAAGGAGGGAAAATAACAACGGGTAAAAAGTACCAAATTTTAAAATGAATTAAATTTTGAGATAATTAAATTGTATCATTATAAGGATAATTAATTGCTAATTATAAAATAAAAAGATATTTTTTATGCTAATTAGATAATATTTTTCCAAGAATATTAGCTAATTTTGGAATCATATATAAATTTATCAATTATGATATTATGGAAAACTTCATTTTCATCAAATGAAATTAATAATTAAAGTTTATATTAAATAATTTTTCAAGTCTCTTGGTTGAAATTAATTTATAAATTATCTTTTTTTTCATTTTATAATTATATTTAAAATATAGAATCAAATTTATTTGAAATAAATTAAATATGTATTATCAAAATAAGATATTCTAATACTTTAATAATCTTCCTAACGATATTGGGTAAAAAATAGATAAAATAAAATAATATTTGGGTAACAATGAGAAACGATAATAATCAGAAACGGTAACAATAAAGTTAATTTTAAAATAATTTTAAGAGATATTAATTATTGGATCATACTTATTATTAATTATTAATCCAATAAATTATAACCGTTAGATTGACGGAAATCAACAGTTACGATTTAGTAGTAACCAGTAGTAACAAAAAGAGGTAGTAACTATAACATTCCCTATATATAAATATAAATAGGACCAGGATCATTTTACACCGGTGTAAGACTAATAAGTCTTACACCACATCTCAACCGTTGATTTCTGTACATCCAACGGTTATAATTTAGAAAGTTATATGAATTCATTAATATTAATTAATCATTAATTACACTACAAATACCAACCGATGATTTCCGTCCATCAACGGTTGAGATGTGGTGTAAGACTTGTTAGTCTTACACTGGTGTAAAAAGAACCTGCCTCATATAAATATATATATATATATATATATATTTGTACTAAAGAGGTTCTTTAGGTTGGTTATTCAAATAAATATTTTTTATATTTAATAATTCTCTTTGATATATTAAATTATAAATATTAATTTTATAAGGAGAAAACTCTAAATTCCAGCCCTAATTTATTTATCTTGTTGCTACCACGGTCACACTATTTCATGGAAGCTCAAGAGCACAACCACATTATACGTAAACATATATGTTCACCCGTAATAAGATAAAGACAAATGATTTTCCCTCCCTAATAAGGAAATAATTAGAAATATATTTTTTTCATCTCAAACCCATACTTTCTAGTAGTCACTAGCGGATTGGATTAACAACCCTTCAAAAATTTCTCACCATATAAATCACATAATATTACTTTTTTTAACACAAATATGCAAAGTGTATTCCTAAATGACTCGTGAGAGACAATGACTTATTAGTGTCAAAAATTGCAACAGAATTATTTCCGTTGAAAATAGCAACGGAATAACTTTCCGTTGAAAATTCCAACGGAATTTTAGACTTTATCCGTCGAAAATTTCAACGGAATTATTTTCCGTTGAAAATTTCAACGGACTTTTTTTTCGTTTATAATTTTGATTGGATTTTGTTCTTCAAGTAATCACAAGCATTATGAAAAATCAAGAAATTTATGCAAAAATGCAAAGTGTATTCCTAAATGACTCGTGAGAGTCAATGACTTATTAGTGTCAAAAATTGCAACAGAATTATTTCCGTTGAAAATTGCAACAGAATAACTTTCCGTTGAAAATTCCAACGGAATTTTGGACTTTTTCCGTTGAAAATCTCAACGGAATAATATTCCGTTGAAAATTCCAACGGAATTTTGGACTTTTTCCGTCGAAAATTTCAACGGAATTATTTTCCGTTGAAAATTTCCACGGACTTTTTTGCCGTTTATAATTTTGACTGAATTTTGCTCCTTCATTTTGCTCTTCAAGTAATCACAAGCATTATGAAAAACCATAAATTGCTTTTATGCAAGAATGCAAAGTGTATTCCTAAATGACTCGTGAGAGACAATGACTTATTAGTGTCAAAAATTGCAACAGAATTATTTCCGTTGAAAATTGCAACGGAATAACTTTCCGTTGAAAATTCCAACGGAATTTTGGACTTTTTCCGTCGAAAATTGAAACGGAATAATTTTCCGTTGAAAATTCCAACGGAATTTTGGACTTTTTCCGTCGAAAATTTCAACGGAATTATTTTCCGTTGAAAATTTCCACGGACTTTTTTTCCATTTATAATTTTGACTGAATTTTACTCCTTCATTTTGCTCTTCAAGTAATCACAAGCATTATAAAAAACCATAAATTTCTTTTATGCAATAATGCTATCATTTATAATTGTTTATGGTATTGTGCATACATATTGAAACATTCACATGAGAATTCAAGTAGTCATGACTATCCACAACTACAAGTGTTGAAGTAGTGGGTGAAGTTATGAGTATACAAAAATGATGCTAAGATGTACTCATATGATAATGGATATGAAAATAAGTAAATATGTTGTTAACAAATCTCTTTAAGCTTCAAACAAAAGATAAGGTCTTAGGCCTTGACAAAATTATTCGTATAAATGGCACACACGCCAAAGCTCGATGATGGACAAAACCTCCGAAGCGCGTACCTGCTGGAAGCCATCAATAGTAAACTTAAACAATATAAAAAATGCAATCAACGAAAACAAACACAACATGAGTGATATGCAATTATCATGTGAGTACATCTGAGCATCATTTTAGTATACTCATAACTTCACCCACTTCTTCAACACTTCCATATGTGGATAGTCACTACTTGCATTCTCATGTAAATGTTTCAATATATATGCACAACACCATAAACAATTATAAATGACAGCATACTTGCATAAAAGGAATTTAGGGTTTTTGATAATGGTTGTGATGACTTGAAAATTATCAACGGAAAAAAACTCCGTTGAAATTTTCGACGGAAAAAGACCAAAATTCCGTTGAAAGTTTCAACTTACCAAAATTCCGTTGCATTTTTCGACGGAAAACTATACCGTTGCAATTTTCAACAGAAAATTTCCGTTGAATTTTTAAACGGAATATTATTCCGTTGTAATTATCAACAGAATTTGTTGTCCGTCGATATTTTTCGATTAAAAATAATTATGTTATAAATTTTTGACAGAAAATTTCAACGGAATTTAATTTCCGTTAAAATTTTTGACGGAATTTATTTTCCGTTGAAAATTTCCGTCTCAAAATTCAACAGAATTTTTTTCCGTCTCTACTTCCAACGGAATTTAATTTTCGTCAAAAATTCCGTTACTATTTTTGACGGAATATTTTCCGTTAATAAATTCCGTCGATAATGGAGCTTTTTCTAGTAGTGGTCTGCGAATCCCAAATATACCAGTTTCTCAAAACTTAAAGTAGGTGATGTCTTAGTAAATAAATTGTCAAATTATCTCTTGAACAAATTTGTTGAATGTCATGAAATAGTTGTGCTTTCACTTGTGACTAAATATCCTGTTTGGAATCTAACTTTGTGTAAATCAAGTAAATATCTTGCATTATTCTGGTATCTTTGTGTTGAAGAAGATTAAGTCATGCGAATAGACTTACACATAAGAAAGAGAGTATGTAAGAAAAAAGAGGAGAAGATGTAAGGTTAGAAAGTTGAATATCCACTTTATTAATAATTTTGTAACTCCCTTCACCTTTTATTATACTCTAATGAGTTTGCCTCATTATAAACCTTTCCCTGAAAAACTCAATGGGATAAAAAAATAGTGAAGGGAAATAAAAATTTGCGGTGCATATAATTCTCCTTCCTGAATACTTATTGTATTCCTCATAAATATGCGTTTAATGATACTGCTTCAAAAAATAGTTAAGCCGAAAAAATCCATTGGGAAAAAACCAGAAAAAAGGAAAAGTATATATTATTATTTATAATATCTTCCTCTTAATTGAGCCATGTAGCTATTGTTAGAGCTAATTAATCTTTTCATCACATTATACATTAGGCTTTATTTAAATTGAGATGTGGCACTTGAGCACTAAGAACTTTTTCATTATTTTCATGGGGTCGAAATTGGTCTTTATTTATGTTAAGCAATCTCTCAACCACTGGGGTACTCAAGGGATGTTATTTATCCATGTAAAATCTGTTTAGAATATTCTATTGGTGTGTAAGTATTTTATTAGGGCAATTATAACATATACACCCCGATTGCTTTTATATATTTATTGATCTTTGAAGTCTTACAGAACAAACTTCCTTGGAAATTTTATGTGCTTAAAGCATTTTGAATCCTTCAAGGATATACATATAAAATATTCTTATTGAACATATGAAGTCATTCGAGTCCCATCGGTCTCTTGTGGACGACTAATCCCTTATAGAGATGATGAATACTTTTAGCTTATCCATCTATACTCATGTTCTCAAGTCATATCAAAGAGTACATTGTTCTCCTTATGTTTCAAGCGGATAAAGTTGTATAATCAATGTATAACCCTAAGTCTATAGATGATCCACACTACCTAATGATGATAGATTGTATCCAATAATACACGCTGTAAGGATTTCTTGTGAAGTCTCTACATTTTTTTAAGCTTCACAACCCCCACATTTTTCGCGTCTGCTGGCTGGACTCCTTGCTTCAGCGAGCACGTTAGCGAGTAGCAGCTGAAATCAATTTTTCATATAATTTCCCTCCACTTTCTCTCAACCATCATTTAACATTAGTCTAATAATCTCATGACATTTTTGCTTAATTCATTATTATTCTTTAATTGGCCATAATTATTTTTCACATATTATTATTTTTTTTGTAAATATTTTTCACATATTAGTTACCAAGAGAATTATCACCAAATAGCTTAAGGTAATGTAAAATCATCAATGAATACTTCTTATAATTCAAACCTGTAACTCAATGAATTTAAT